AAAGTTGAACTTTGTTTCATTGCTTGGGATCAAATGAAAATAGCCATCTCTCGTAAAGAACCAAAATACAACATGAAATGTAATGATGTTGCTGCTTAAAAGTAAAACACCAGTGGTGAGTAAGTGACTGATCTCCATTGTTACTAAGTAAAACAAAATGCTTTAAAAAGTAAATATAGTAATTGGAACTTTGTTTTGTTAAATAATTGATGTTCAGGTAAGTTATGACTAACTATTATTGACTTTCCAGGGCCTCCAGGATGGGCAAGGTAAGTACAGGTCTAAAGGGCATCTTTGGGTCAGGATAACTGTAAGTACCATCGGTAAGTAGTTGTATGTTGTCTTGTCCGGGGCAGATGGTCTAATGAAGAACTGGTAAGTATCAGTGAGTGTAGTCAGGGTCAAGGCAGGAAAAGCTTTGCACTTTCTTGATGGCATTTGTAGAATAGATTGAACTCCTCAGAAGTGCAAAGAATGAAATCCTACTTGTATTTTCAGATGCTAACCTACACGAGAACCTGGTAACCAGTCATCCACCATAGGAACGCAGCAATCACCCTGATACACTTCATCAGTTTATTTAAATTTACAGTTCTGTTAAATTTGAATCAGATTGGCTTTTCCAATGTTTCTTAAAATATTTAAATGATCCTTGGCTGAAACATTCCCCATTCCAATGGAACAGTGACACACACATATAACAATAATGTACATTTATGAATTAGGTAGTTCTACTTAATGCACACTGAAGATTGGCATGTCTAATTTAACATTCCAATGAGTACATTTAAAGGTCTGTACTTTTGTTAAATTTCACGGCCATGTTTGGTGTGCATGTTGCAGTTGGTTTAATGCTGCAAAGGCTTTAGGTCCTGTGTTGCTCCATAATTCCTGTATTCAAAATCTGGAAGTGTCCTTACCTTTAAATGCAGAGCAAGGATTTTATCCTGGCTGAACATCGCAACCTAGGGAACTTTTTTTGAAAACAAAATAGAGCTTAAGTGTAAATAGGAAATCATTTTCCAGGGTTGCAGTGTTCTATACAGAAGATGTTGCGTAACAAAAGAAGGAGTGTTTGCTACACAATATCGTTTTCTACTGAATAGATTACAGCTGTAATGTGCTGTATCACCACTTTGCATGTTTGTAGCACCATAAAATGTGGTGTTGTTAGTTTCCTTGTGAAAAGGCATTGTTATTAGCTTTAAAAGGAGTGAATACTTGACTGTTCACAAGATAATCCCTGGAGATTGGCTGGCATTGTGCACTGTAATATTAAATAGAAAGTTTTTGCAGGCTGTTTAAAAACAAGTTGTATTTCATAAATGTAATAGAATTTGAAAACAGTTTTAGATAATAAACAAAGCAGTGTCGTGGCCTTGCAAAAACCATTAAATAATGCACAGGAGATTTGTTAAAGGTACACAAGATTATATGGCCGGTTTAGGTAAGACAAATAAAGAAAAGCTTTTCCATTAGCTGATGGTACAAGGATGAGGTAACATAGATTTAGACATTTAGGCAAGTGATACAGCAAACGTGAGGCAGAGCTTTTTTACACACCGAGTGCTAATAGCGCGGAACTCGCAATGTGTGTTGTGAAAGGGGAAATAAACGTGCAGGACTATGAGAAGACTCTGGGGAAATGGGGCTGACTGTTTTGTGCTATCATGAGCTGGAATGGACTTGATGCATTGAATGACTGCTTCCTGTGTTGCAATGACTTTGACACTAGATCAGCGCTTCCCAAACTTTTTCTCATGGTAGCCCTATTTCGTCGTTTAATACTTGCTTGATAGGTGAGAACTTTGAGAGCCAGGAGGAGGGCATGTTGGGGGCAATTGGGAAGGGCTATGATAGTGGGGTAGAGGACCTGTGATGGTGGAGGGGTCGGTCTGGAAAGCTGGCAATCTCTGCAGCAGCCATTGCTGCCAGGGAAATTGCAACCCCCATCTTTGGATCCCATCCTCCACTTTGGAAAGTTCTGCTCCAGATGTTTTACAAAGAACATCTAAGAAGAAATGTAGCAGCCCGGTGCAAAGTTAATTATTAAAAGTTTTGCAGCATGGAAAGAGGCCCTTTGGCCCATCTGTGTCCGCACTCATTATCAAACATCTCTAGTCAACTCTAGTCCCACTTTCTAGTATTTGGCCTGAGCCTTTTATAAAATGGCAAGTATTCATGAAAATACTTGTTAAATGTGATGTTTTCCACCTCTATCCCCCGCTTCTAGACAGTAGAAACTTGAATTTAAATAATCTATCCATTGGTTATTGACCTCTCTATTAAGGAAGTTGGAAGATGTGAATGAGACTGAGGGGTAAAGTTGATGGCTGTTGCTTGATATGTAAAATAACTTGACGGTGATGTACCCCAGAACCAGTTCTGCACATTTTGGATTTGGTTATAAGGAGTAGTATAAGACTGATGACTCAAAACTAGGAGGTTTATTATTCAGACTGTAAGAGATTTGAGGTCGGTGCAGGTAGTGCAGTGTAAGGTAACTGATCTTGGCAAGATGACAAAGGATAAGAGCAAACAGGGAACGGAGGTATGCAGTAAATGGACAGACACTGAATTATGTTAATCTGCGGAGGAAGATATGTATTTGAATACAAACAATAAATGATTAAATTATTATAAATTAAGATAGTATTTAGTGTCTAATAAATAGCAAAGAGACAAGAAGGAAGATGTGTCACACAATGGTTTGGCCACATTCGGAGAATGGTGCAAATTTCAGTGCCTCATTTCAAGGTCAGATATTAAAGTCGTGTAGAGGTTTCTCAGGAAGATGCCACAGTGAAGTGAGAGATTAGAAATTTCTTTACGCTGAGGTGTTCGAACTTTGGATTCGGGTGGCTACTGTTGCATTTCTTTTAAAGGGAAATGAGATCAGCATTTGAGGCAGAAGGAAATACAAGAAAATGGGGAGAGAGAATAGGGTCACAGGATTAACTGTAACTGACAGCCAATTGCATCCTTTGCTCACTGTTTCAAAATACAATAATTTCATTTACAACTGGTATACGTATTAATGAAAATTGTTTTCATATTCACCTTTCTGCGTATAGTCAGGTACCTTTTCCTATCAACTAGGATAAGCTATGCCAGGAATATTATTACTCCTCTGTTCTCAACTTGCCCATCACCATGTTATTAACATCTGTCTTTACTTCTGTTGCTAGCCTGCTGTCATTACCATTGTGCAATCATTTTCCCTGTGCAGTATGCAGATATTTTGTTTCATGCAAAATATATGCAAATTGTTGCTTTTCCTGAGCAATGCTTCTGAGAGGTACAGTGGTCTCTTTGGCTGTGATGTAGACATGTATTTATCAATGTTCAACATAACGCACATAGGTTTTGCTGCTCCAACATTCAATAAGATCGTGGCGCATCTGATTGTGTTCCGAATTCCACATTCCTCTCTAACCCTATGACCTTTAATTCCCTTGCCTAACACGAATCTTTCTTCCTCCACCTTAAAAGAAAAAAATCCGGTGAGCCTGCCTTCTGAGGCAAAGTTCCAAAGAGAAACAAATTTTTTATCTCTGTCCCAAAAGGTCACTCCTAATTCTAAAACAGCCTGCCTCTTGTTCTGCACTCTGTTTTCATTGATTATAAGGCTGGATTTTCAGCAATTAGGTTGTAGTAAATAAGACCAACACTTTCAAATAAGAAGACAATACAGTTGTATTGTGAAAGTTCCTGTTAAGGTTAGGAATTGTAATCTGTAACAGGAATGAGGGACACAGTATCTGGTATTGTGTTACAACAACAATTTTATTAAATATAGTGATAATAATAATACTATTAAAAATAATAATTTGTTTAAAAAAGGAAAGGTAACTTTATTGAAAAAGAAAAAACATCTTTCGTGTGAGTGAGAAGAAATGCACCTTTATTACAGCACAAAGAGTAAACCCAAATTCGTCTATCCACATTCCAGAATGCTAAAGTAATCCAAAATTAGCCTATCCATGATAGATCATTAAAATGGTAAACCAACCCTTGCTACATAAATTACCAGGTCTCTGGATAGCCTTACATGGTATGATTCTCTGTTCAGCTGTTCTCATCAGTTGCTCATTGTTGTAGTGTGTATTTCTGGCTCCATTCCAGTTTTTTGAGGCTTTGACCTGAGTTTGCCCAAATAAAAGGTCTGAACAAACCATGAATTGGTATTTCTCTCAGATTGGGAAAAATCTGCACACTTACCAGAACTCAGATTGTTGACCATTCTTGATGATGTCACTCATCTATCTAGTGTCCATCATAGAATCCCTACAGTGTGGAAACAAGGCCTTTGGCCCAACAAGTCCACACCAATCCTCCGAAGAGCATCCCACCCAGACCTATTTCCCCACCCTTTCCCTGTAACACTGCATTTCCCTTGGCTAACACATCTAATCTACACATCCCTGAACACTATGGTGCAATATAGCATGGCCAATCCACCTAGCCTGCACATCTTTGGACTGTGGGAGGAAACTAGACCACCCAGAGGAAACCCACGCAGACGCGGGGAGAATGTGCAAACTCCATGTAGACAGTTGCCTGAGGGCGGAATTGAATCCGGGTCCCTGGCGCTGTGAGGGAGCAATGCGAACCACTGAGCGACCGTGTTGCCCTAACCTCCATTTCATCAACCACCCTGTTGACAGGCTAATCATTGTCCCGACGTGTAGGTCATGGGGTCAGTACAGTAAGGACAATTGGAAAAATCAGCTTTTGGGGATAAAAAAGTATCCAATCAATTCAACAACTGTAAATATTATATCCTTGGGAACAGGGCCCAAGTTTATAGTTGAATGTTGCAACAGGATTGCACAATTGGTTAATTTTGACTTTTACAAAGTATAAATTCAGTTCGAGTTTACTTGAAAATCAAAAGTTAAGCAGAAATTAGATATAAAAGATAAAATTGTAAAAATTGATGATTCTTGCTGTAGGCCTACAGTTCATTGGAATGTTCACACCAAAATATCTCTGATGGCATCTCACTGAATTTGATTCCGTGGGAGCATTTCTGATAACTTTAGGGAAAAGGATTGCTGTGTATTGTCACTGAAGGGGCTTGTAGCCTACAGATGGGAAAAAAGTGATTAAAAATAAGAGATTTTGTTGGGAAAATTGGCAAACTGGACAGTGGAAGAATTGCTGGTTAAATCAGTTGGCTGGACAGCTGGTTTGCAATGCAGAGTAATGCTGACAACATGGGTTCAATTCCCACACTAGCTGAAGTTACCAGAAAAGATTCTGCTGTCACTCTCCACCTGAAGAAGGACTGAGGCTCTGAAAGCTTGTGATTGCAAATAAACCTGTTGGACTATAAGCTGGTGTCGTGTGATTTCTGACTTTGTCCACCCCAGTCCAACACTGGTACCTCCACATCGTGACGCACTCCACTCGCTTGAGGTGTAATGACCTTCAGGTTAAACCATTATCCCCCCTCTCACTCTCTGTAATGAGAGAGCAGGCCTGTGGTCCATTAGGACTATGACAACTTTTATTTAAAATAAATATTGCTGTAATGAGTAATCTTCCAGTGAGACTGTGTTTCCCAAAACTTGGAACTACATCTGACATTACTTTTCCTGTTCTAGTGTTCATTATTGTGAGGGGCAAGGAATTATACATTACAAGAAACTACTAATTTCCTTCACTGATCTAAATGAGATGGATTGTTGTACCATCCTGTGGTCTGTTAGATTTTTGGGACATTTAATAAGATAGGAATGAGGTACCTAAAGCAGTCATCAAAGTTCTTGTGCCCTGTTTCTGTATGTAGAAAATAGCCACAGTTAAGAAACAGGAGCATTGATACCACTGTCAAAGTACTGACGCTTGTTAGAAGCAGATTTTTTTTATTCATTCAAGGGATGAGGGCGTCGCTGGCTAGGCAGCATTTATTGCCCGTCCCTAATTGCCCAGAGGGCAGTTAAGAGTCAACCACATTGCTGTGAGTCTGGATTCACATGCAGATCAGACTAGGTAAGGATGGCCATTTCCTTCCCTAAAGGACATTAGTGAACCAGAGGGGTTTTTATGAAAATCGATTCACAGTCATCATTAGATTCTTAATTCCAGATATTTATTGAATTCAAATTCCACCATCTGGGTTCCCAGAGCATTATCTGGGTCTCTGGATTAACAGTCTAGCGATAATACTACTGGGCCATCTCCTCCCAGTGATGAGACTTAATATATTTAAACAAGAATTGTACACAATACAATGAACTAAGCTCATGCCTAAAAATGCAGCAGTGTTGCTTGATTAAATTGGAATTATTTATTTGTCAAATACATTGAGTGGTGGTTAGCCACAGTCAGACCAGTTAATCACTTAAAGCACTGGGGTCTCTGATGAGATTGTTAGTGGGGAATTTGCCAATAATTTCCATTCTGACGGGGTAGTTGTCATGGGTACACAGCCAAGGAGACTGATTTAAGTTGTTACACTGTACACTGTTGAGGAGACTGATTTAAGCAAAGATTTTTAAACACAACACATTGTTTTAAAACCATGCAGTTTCTGCAGTTATTACAGCCACTTCTATCAAACCTATGATTCCTATTTTTTTAATAGTTGATCTTGTATTGTAAATGTAGGAAGTAAAGTAACATCTGTTACATTAATTTGTGAATTGGTGTGATTTGTAAACTTCTAACAGTCAGGTATGGACTACTTGTTTGTGTACTAAATTCTAATTTTAATTAGTTTTCAGGTGGAAATTATTTGGCCTAGAACTGTCTACTTCGTCTATAGGTAGACAGGGTTTGTTGCTTTTGTGATTACTTTTCTGAGGCCCAGAGCATTTGGAGGTTGCTGGAAAAGATGTAGGAATGATAGATAGACATTGTTAGTCCTGGATGCTTCAAATTTTCAGTCATAAGAGCACGTGTGCTGTGACACTTGTGCTGTTGGTTTAGTGTCTGTAAATTGTGGAGCAACATGAGATCTTCCTAAGCCTAACAAATACCTGTCAGATTTATACAACAATGAAACCAGTATGGATACTCCCTAGGTTTTGCGGGTAAGTTTTTTTCTGGAAGGGTATGAGGGAGGTGCCCATCCTGCCAGAACATCGAACTATGAGGGGGAAATCTGTTTATTTCATCGTTTACAGGCCTCAATGTCTGCAAACCAAGCAACAAATAATGAACAATTTTGCCTCTTCTTTGTCACCATTGCTAGACAAATGTTTATGGATCAGCACAGAGACGAAAAATGCGTCCTTTTGAAGGGTTTCAACGCAAGGCTATTGTAATTTGTCCCACGGATGCCGATTTAAAACAACGGACAATAAAGCGCACTGATGAGGAAGGAAAGGATGTTCCTGATCATGCAGTTTTAGAAATGAAAGGTAGGAAACTGGAAACACCCACCCTGTTTAAAACAGTCAGCAGGAAAAAAACGCAGTCAGATAGCTCTCTTCCCTTCTTCATCCTTTGTTATTGTCCCCACATCAAACCCATTTCACCGTCTCTTTCCTCTTACCAGATGTACACACTATAAACCCCAGGTTAGTACACCAAGAATGTTATGGCCATCACCTGATTCTCTGATTTATGTGGTGTCCATAAGTGCGTTGATGGCAACCAGTTACACAATGTCAAGTGATCTGCTTGGAAATTCAGAAGCAGTTTTCTGGTGATCGCAGTATTTTTTTTCTTTAATTTTTTTTTTCCTTGCACCCTACTTTCTCCCAGCGATGAGTGGCATTGGCCCCCTGGCGCAAAGATCCGTCCTGTGGAGGTTCGATCTTTACTTTTGCCAGACCTGGGATCGGCCATTAATATGTCTCTTCTTGTGTTTCTTCTTTTCCTATTCTTTTTTGTTTTGTGCATGTGGCTCTCAGCGAACTTCACTCTGCCTGAAGCCGATGAGTTCCTGGATGACGTCACCTACGTAGAGCTGCAGAAGGAGGAGTCGCTGAAGCTGGTGAGTGAGTACAACGAGGAAGGGAAAAGGGCCGGCCCTCCCCCGGACAAGCGGTTTGACAACCGATCTGGTGGCTTCCGTGGACGTGGAAACTTCAACCGATTTGACAATCGTGGTGGGCAGGTGACACGTGGGTTCACCCGTGGTGGATTCCGACCAGGTAAGTGGCTGGGGCTATTCAGAGAGGTTCCAAGTTTACATCTGTTTTAAATTAGCATCAATGGAGTATTTGTGGCTCCATTTAATAGCTAATGATGAAAAGGTCACATTGTTTAAGATGACATCAGGAGCACTTGTTCACACACAGACTGAATTTTACTCTGGGAGTAGTGGTTCCACCCTGCCTCATGTAAAAGTCAGGGGTGATCCTACTTCCACTTGGCCAGTTTTCCCTACAGGCATTAAATGGCTGTTGGACCATTATAATTGGCTTGAGGTAGGGCATTTGGCCTCCACCAAGAGGAAATCCCACAGTTGTTTAAAGTATTGGCAAAGATCTGTAGCTCGGGTTGTGGATGAGGTTGTTGACTTGCTCGCCGAGCTGGCTTGTTTTTGTTCAGACGTTTCGTTACCATGCTAGGTGACATCATCAATGGAGCCTCCGATGAAGGCTTCCTCAGAGACTCCACTGATGTTGTTACTTAGCATGGTGACGAAACGTCTGAACAAAAAGAAGCAAGCTCGGTGAGCAAGTCAACACCCTCTGGAAATACTACCTCTGAGCTGACAACCACTCAGTGGTTGGGGACAGTGTTGGGAGCAGTTTATTGGCAGCTTTCATGTCACAGCAGCACCTCCAGCAGATGTAGCCTGTCCTGGGACAGCAGTGAGCTTGAGTGGAAGATGTTGAGCATTAGAGCCAAGTGTAAGATGGGAACTCATCTAGACAAGGTGATCGACAGGGTAGAACAAGGTCTATGATTCGAAAAAGAAAGGTGACCTCTGATGGATACAGTGCACCTGTCAAGGAGGCATCCACTCCCACCCCAGCCTCTAGGCCCTTGTGACTAGACGTTGGCAGCAAGCAATGGTTCTTAAGTAAGGACCTCAGTAGGTCCATGTGTGAGTGGAACACTGAACCTCCCCTGTATTGGTAAAATTGGATAGATATTGAGAACAGCACCAGTGTCATGATAATCACACCTATGTCCCATCCCCCAACTCCACAACCTTCCATACTTCCTCCAGGATGCTTTAAAGTTCAAACCACAACCTGATGGAAATCTGAATGGTTCAGTGGAAGACTTCACAAGTTAATCTGAGATTTTTGATAGGCACTGTTATTAATGGTTATGGAACAAGGCACATGGATAGGTTAGAGACGGAGAATTGAATTATGGAATAAGCTGAATGGCCCACTCCTGCTGTTATGTTCGCCTGTTGTTGGAACATTTTCAGCCTATTGATGCCCAGCATAGATTCAGAACTTGTATGAGTCTCGAATTAAAATCTCTCTGTTGTTAAATTCAGGCTACAATCGTGGAAGTAACACACAGAACCGTTGGACCAACAGCAGCACCAACAACCGTGGTACCTACAATCGTACCCAGAGCTACAACTCAACCCGCACACCCACCTACAACAAAACCAGCTACAATCAGAGTCAGGTAACCATCATTGATAGATAATCAGGCAGAAGGAAGGGTAGATGGAAGTAAGCTGGAATCGGTTGCAGTTGCTTTGTTTATTGGATGTGAGGGTGGGAGTGAGCAACTAGTTTTATGGGATTTATGTTCTTATGCAAAAGCTATATTTATATAGAGTCTTTCATATCTGCAAGGCTGTCCCAAAGTGTTTCAAGCCAATTTTGTTGAAGTGTGGTCACTGTTTTTGTGGATACACCTGACAGTCATTTTGTCCTTGGCAAAGTCATGCACATTATAGGTAAGTGTCTTGGTCATGTTTGTGGAAGGATAAGTGTTTACGAGCACTCCTTCCTTGCTCTTTTGAACTGATGTCCATGGCACTAACCAGTGTTTCTCAGATGCAGCTCCAACAATGCAACCCTCTCTCATATTCCTTGGCATTCCTTATCCATAGATGGTCATGAACCCATGACCTTCTAACTTTGTGATGTGTGCACAGCCACTGAGTCATGTTTACTTGTGTTTGGATTCTTCAATTAATTTTCAACCTAGTGCTTCTTAGTTTGTCTGGATCCTTGTTGGCATCGGTGGGGCTAGTGCTGACACTCTTTGATTAATCTTACCTCCGAAGCCCACTTTATTGGATTTGCTACGGAACAATTAAATCAAGAAAACTGCAGATGAAAGGTTATCCTGTTTACCCATTCTGAGCTTAATTACCAAATCTGTAATAAATTTGCCATGTTTTATTTCGATTTCAGCCAGCACCAGCACCTGCACCAGCACCTGCACCTGCACCTGCGCCTGCGCCAGCAGCACCAACGACAGCACCGACAACGTACGCTCAGAGTTACAGTCAGGGCTACAATCAAGCATACACTCCTAATTACAGCTACGGAAACTACAGCAGCTACGGGAGCTATAACCAAGGCTACACTCAGCCACAGACAGCAACGCAACCTTACACCCAACAGTACCCCAACCAGTACCAGCAGGTGATTTTTCATAGACTCAAAATGTTGGAATGCATGTTCTAAATCTCTCTTAGCGTCAGGAATCAGGCACCTACCTGGTCAGAGACAGGTTTACTGGGTTCTGTAGGACAGACGTCGTGTCTTCAAGAGCTGCTAGTTAGTCAGAAACTGGCAACTTCTCTAGTCTCAGCAGTGCCACTGGGACTGGTGGCCACTCTCGGTACTGCAGAAAACCCTGGGAGGAGGCCCAGTCACTGAGTCTCAGGGCAACTAGCTGGGACAGGCTTGCCAGGGATAAGTCAGGTAGGCTCAGGATGAGGTGGGTGAGGAGGGCAAGGGGAGAGAATCTTGCCCACGGGCAATACTAATCATCAGCAGATCCCTTCAGTGAACACAGGCTGTCCAAGCATAAGGCTCCTCTGAGACCACAGGTGGCTGGCAGTGTATACTTGATGACATACCTACAGGAAGGCTGTTCTCAAATGTGTCCCACACAGGACTTAATATGGGAGGGAGAAAGGACTTCCTATTTCCAGCCTTCTCCATTATATAGGGCCCAGTTGTTAAAGGGCAATGAGATAAAAATCTGCCCATGATTACAGCTTGAAATTAAAACTCAACATAATGAGGCAGAACAGAAATAATTTGATGGTGGATGTATTCTAACAAATCATAACATTCAGTCCATGCAAGTTGTTGTATAAAACCAGTTCTTGATCTCACAACAATGCCCACCATTTCATATATCATTTAAGAAAAAGTACATGGACCTATGGTTTTTATAATCACTTGGACTTGTTTTGAAATGTTCGTTGTTTTCAGTGAATCTTGATCTCTGTGAATTTAACATTGCCCGTATTCCCTTTGTTCTCCAGTATGCTCAGCAGTGGAGCCAATATTACCAGAACCAGAGTCAGTGGAACCACTACTACGGGAACTACAGCTATGGGAATTACTCAGGAGGCTCTCAGGGCTCTGGGACACAGTAAAACCCAAATTCTAAAGCTATCGTCACAAAACCAATTTTTTAAAAAAAACACAATTATTCTACTAGCAGTCTGTTGTATTTAAGATTTAAAAGCTGCATCAGGGTGTGAAACACACCAGTTTTCAGTCATTTTATTGTGTCGATATAGTAGTAGTGATTGTAAAATTAAAAAAGTTGCAAAGAAGAAGGAATAAACAGTTTTAAGATTCTGGGATGTTTCGTGTAATGACGCCTTTTTAGATTTTTATGTAACTTTTTACTGTTAATAAGCTGTCGATATTTTGTCGGTAATTAATGACAAAATTTCTTCAAAACAATTAGAACCTTGAATATGTTAACTTTTTTTTATATAATGTATAACTATTCATGTGACTTTGCTTGTGCATTTCTGTTGAGTCTGGTTGAAACGGCTTTTTGTATCTAGGGAAGATTTACAATTGAATGACACACACAGCTTTTTGGTGTTACTGCTCTCAATAACATTGTGTGAAAACTTGTGTTTGTGTGAAATATAATTAAGGGCGCAAGGAATATTTTTGATCTCAATGTTGGGTTTTAGTATTGTACCTATCTTGGGTGACAAGGAACGCTCAGAACTATATCTGGACACGCTTCAGGTCTGGCAACTGTCCTAATTGTAAAAAGCAGGGGTTCAAATGAAGAACTAAACACTCCATATTGTGTACAAACCAAACCAAATCACTTTACAATATCATTCAGGCAGTCAGTTTATTTCACTGCCACTTTGGCTGATGAACTGAAAAAAATTGTCTTCCATCTCCAAAAGCTGACAAGCATATACTGTTAATAAAAACACATCTGCCTATCTCTTAGTTTTTGTTTATGTTTTGTTTTACTTCACTTCCTTCACACAATCTTCATCCCTGAAAGGAGTATGGTATGTATCTGGTTGTATCTGAAGAAGTGGGTGGGGGAAAGACAGGTGACTGCCTTGGTCAATTATCCTTCCTGAGGTGCTGTGCACGAGGAAGGTAAGTGAAGATATTCTAAGACTTGTTGAGACAGCAAATACCCAGTAATTCTGTAATTCAAGCCTTTTGTCACAAGAAGTTGTGATCTCCACTTCTGGAACAAATTGTCTTTATTTGGAATACTCCAAATAAGAAAACAATTTTTGAAAAGCATTGTTTGTTAGCTGGAGGTGAATAACTTGATCCAAATCTAGACATGAAATGCCTACCTAGATAAATTTACTCAGAACTGATTAGGCAGGCAAGATGGGTTGAATGCCTTCTGCTGTATTATTAGGTAATTACGATATTTGATTCAATTGTGTTTACTCCCTGCATGTTACTTGACCACTAAATATTTTCATTTGAAGTTATTCATTATGGGATCACTCATTTCTCTGCACTTGAGGCAGATAAGGATTTATCACAGGGAATCAAATTTTGAACATTCAATTTACCGAATTTTCTCCACTCTCCTGATATCTTGTCACTTGAGTGAATAGCTCAAGTAACTCTTAATAACCTATTTTGGACAGGCATGATGAGATGCAGGAACTCTTGGTTTGGAATAAATATCACAGAGGATTAAAAGTGATCGAATATATACAGAGAGGGTTCCCCAGGTGACTGAGAAAGGTGCCCTCAATGTGTCACTGAACTATACAGGTCTGCTAGGTCCCAGCTTTGGCCCTTGTTAGATGCAGGTTTGGTTTGCTACTTTCACAGCCTAGGTGATAATCTGTGCAATAGATCACATGCCTGTTCAGAAGCTGCTTGATTTTTAGTCCAGAAATTTGCGCATTGAAAATTGGGTGTAATTTCTGAAGAATAAAGTGAGCTAATTAATATAAAAATCCAGCCAAAGGCTGTTTGCTTTGGCAGGGGGAGATATTTTGTGATTTGGCCCTACTGAGACTGAGGCTGTATGGATGATGTTGGAACAGATTTTTAAAATGCTGTTCTGCAATTGCATAACCTGTTGACTTGTTGATGGAATGCAAGAAAAGGCTCATTGGAAATGGCACCAAAGGCAAATGAAATTACAACAGAGGGTGAGGAGGAGGGGAAAAAAACCTCTTAAAAACCTTCAGGAAATTATTGTGTACAAGATAGCGACCTGCACTGTAGTGACCCACAGACTACTGATGGTGTGTTTCATTTCACTTTACAGATAGCTTATAGAGATTGCTTGTCTTGGAAAAGTGCTATTTTTTGTAAATTTCACTAGTTTTGTGTTGTCACTGATCCATATAGGAAAGTGCTTCTCCATTCTGATAGAGGCAAAGGCCAGTTATTACAAGAATATTTGTTAAGTAATCTTAGGAATAACGATCACCAAGATGCCTATGTCCTGCCAGGTTGTCAAGCAAGACTAAATGCTTCATAGCGTGCGAACATTGCTCTCTTTCCCTGTTGATAATCTGCCATTTAACTTTACATTTGGTTAAGTTCAAAAGCTATTACTTTGTGACTTTGTCAGTACTTTGTTACACTGAATAAAACAGAACAATTATGTTTAAGCAAAAAAACATTAAAAATGTATTTTAAACTGATCTGTACATTGTTTGTAATTGGTATTTATCATTTTAAGCAGCTGATCAACTTTATAAGTGGAAGGGGTCAATATGCAACAAAAGAGCAGCTACATAACCCAGCTTTGGAATCCAGATGATCAACCTGGAGGCTTTTTATAAACGTGTTAAATTATTTCTGTTTGTACAATGACAGCTGTTTCTGTAAATGTAGTTGCGTAGACCCTTTGTTAATTAGGATACCTGAAGTTTTCATCCCAGCTTCTTCAAAAGCTGCAATGCATCTAAGATTTCCCAGTATCGCCTTGTTCCTCTGACTTTTTCTCATGCTGACCACATACCTTGGTTTGACAGCAGTTATGGCTGTGTTGGCATACTTTAAAGAGTTGAGACCTCTGCAGAATATTTATCACGTGTTGGCCTATGCTAGAGGAACAGTCAGTATGATAATTGAAAATATGATCACAGCAATGAAGCATTTTGGTGTTATACCTTTCACAACTTCAGGACCCCTCAACAAACTTCATTGTCAACAAATTTCCTTCAAATTTTCCTACTGTATAAGTAAATGTTCATGCACAGTAAAATGCCATAAAGTACAATGAGGAAATTTTCATTCTGGAGCTCAGTTTGAGGGACTTTCAAGAACTTAGGTGCTGAACAAATATGATGTATCCATGAACAAACCTCATCTAAATGACAGCATCTCTGATAAATGCATCATTCTCTCAGTTGTACATTGGAATACCTGCGTAGATATCAGCAATAAGTCTCAGTAGCTGGAATTCTACCCTGTTTCTGGCCAGTATTTTCCCAGACCTATAAATGCTTCATGCTGATGCAAAACCATCAGTCCACAGTGCTAGCCTGTCAGTTGAAGTTTCTCCAGTCTAGGAGTTGAAATCACTAGTTGCTCTTCAATCACTGCCCCATTGTCAACTGCATGTAAACTATAGTTTTAGAGTATTGTAAATTAGCCTTGAAATTTGCAGCTTCCATTACGGTTGTATAAAAATATTGGGGTAATGCTTGAAATGTTCCTAAATTCAAAACTGAAATGTGTTAATCTGGGTTTGTCCCACTACTGAAAAAGCAGCTTGCAGCAGATATCTCATGAATTTCAATCTGCATTTTTATTCGAGTGGCATGTATCGGGAGACTAGCAAGATAGCATTTAACAAAGCTTTTTAAATCCGAGATGATATGAAATGGTTGTCACTTTGCATTTTACTTTACAGTCACAAATAGCACAGAGTCAAGCCATTACACTCAGGCTAAAAGTTGGATTTATTTATGAGCAATATAATTACACAGTGGTGGTAAGACACAATATTTCTAGAGTTCAAATCAAAGAACAAAGTATCATTTTTAGAAAATTGATAACATACATTTCCTCAAAGTAGGCAAAGTACTCACTGAACAGATCCAGCTGCATGAGAAACTGCTGAAGAAGTTGGATCAATTCTGTTATGCCAAAGGAATTATTTCAGGTTGCAAATTTTAATTCTAGAGATACCTTGATGGGTTTGGCATTAGAAATAAACAATTGCTTGATTTACTGACATAAGCTCACGGGAGTGGAGAAGCCTTCCAGAAGCAGTGAAGCTAATTCTATCATGCAAAAAACTTTATAGCATCTTTATTTGCATCACATCCAACCTAACCCATGAAGCTGAAGTAACCCAGTTCCTACTTGCACTTAAATTTACTAGTCACATATTCCTATCTGTTGATCGCTTTCCTAGCAACTGCCTCAAGTTGAATGAACTGTTGTCATTGCAACCTTGATTTTCTGTTTGAAAGTCAAATTGAGCTTCCAACTGCAAATCTATTCCATCTGAAAGACTACATACTTCCAGCTGCATAATGTCTGGGTCTATCCAGCCTATGTACTGCTAAAACTCTCATCAATGCCTTTTTGACCATCATGCTTCCCCCAATTAACTCCATATTCCACCCATTCTAAACCCCAGATTACTGTGTCCTGACCTGGTGCCTTCTGCACTTCTTGCTGGCCAGTTTAGCTTTCAGCTACTCAACACCACAGCTTCATGCTCATGTTCAAATTGTTTTGTGATCTCATTCCCTTCCTTTTTCTATTGCCTCCTCCAGCCCTACAATATCTGTTCCTCTGACAGCAGGCAGCCATTGTATCAAAAATCACATCACCGAGCTTAAAATATCATTGTTTAGTGTGATGATGCACTCCATCCCATGTGATGCCTACCTATTGCAGAAGGTCTGAAGTGTCCTGATGCATACCCTGTACTGCCTTCTCTAAGGATGGCTAGGTGTGGGTGTGGGTGTGGGTGTAACCACAGAAGACAAGCAGGCAGCTGGGTGCAATGACCCCCTCCATGGCTCACTGCCTGCAGCTGGATCTTTGATGTTATACCTCTTTCACCAGTTCCATCATTGTTTCAGGTGATGGGTAGAGTATGCTGCCAGAAATGTTCAGGTCTACGAGTCCTGCTAAGGAAATCTTGTAAGGTAGCAACTGCTTTATTCAGAGAACATTGAATGTGACATAAGAGAAAATTTGTCTTCTGTAATGTTACTCTTCTCACCATGAAAACCTTCAAATAACTTTTCATATCTTTTTCATTCAAGATAACATTTTGACACGTTTAAAGAGTGGAAGTTATTTCAGTGATATTGCTATTAGTTGTGTAGAACCAACTTGTTCATTGTCCTTCAGAGAAGTGAAGCTGTTGCGTTCCTGTCTGGTCCAGTCCAGTGTCACACTAACAAGTTGACTAGAGTGAACAGGTGACTCCAACTGTCCCCATCCTAAAAACAAATTATTTTGAAAAAGCTAGTTTCTTGTACCATAATGTTGTGAGGGTCATTTCGAGCTACTGATCATGTGGCTTTCTTTTCCTCAAAAATGCATCACTCGCTGGCTGTGTCTCATGCTGATTTGCGAGGAACGCAATACAGCTGGTATGGCCGATGTAGGGTTGAGAAACCACTGGACAGCGGGCTGATATCGATGATGTGTGGATCTGCCGGGGATCTCAAGGTGAAGTTCTGCAGCAGGGCTGTGAGGAACAGGAACAGCTGCATCTGAGCTACAGTCTCACCGATGCACATGCGGTTCCCTGTAAGACAAGTAATCCAGGTGTGTAAGGAACTGGCTTCACTATAACAGAGTAATGGAGAGTTACCAAAACATGGACCTACAAGCATATAAATCAGGAGTAGGATCAGGCCATTCATTTTGATTCCCTTACTGATCAAAAATCTAACTCAGCCTGAAAATGCTCAATGACCCAGACTTCACTAGTCTCTTGGGAGGAGTATTCAATGGGCCAATGCCACTCTAAGAGAAAATAATTCTTGATCCCCTTTTAAAAGATCAACCTCGGATTCTTAAACTGTCTCCCCTAGAGCTAGTCTCTTTTGGAGAAACATCTCTCAGTGTTGTGTTATGTCTCAGTTAGTATGTGGTATCCCTTTAAGAGATATGTTCATAATATGATCTCTGTATCAAGGTATGTGACGAGAGGATGTAAAGGTCTCAGACTCCATTGTAATTTAGGCCACTTTGAAGCATTAAATGCTGGTGAAAGTGTACTATACTTTGTAGTTCATCTCAGTTGTCCCTAGTGAGAAGGTTTAGGCCCACATCACTCACCACTCTGAGCACAGGAGTGTTGTCCCCTGATGCAGATCCTACTCTCTACCTCATGTTGGTGGACAATTTGCCCTCCCCATTCCCAACAACCAACTACCAGGCAGGTAATTAACAGCAGAATGTAAACATTTGCCACGGGTGAGTGATGCATGAACTCATCAGCACAGTTTGCCCATTGCTAACTACCCACTGGAGGTTAAAATTCAGGCCCACAGCCTCTGCTTAAATCACTAACTCTGCTTCATAGAACATAGACACGAAAGGCTGAATGACTCCTATTATGGATGTTTTTAAGTCTTCTAAATTAGTACAAAGAGCTTGAATGTAAAATTACAGAATGTGAAGCTCATGTTTTTCAGAGAGATTAAGGGCAGCTGCCTTGTTTTGAATCTTCTTTCATTCTTTCTAAGCTTCAGGTACACTGCCTCAGATATAGGAGCAGGAGGAGACCCTTGAGCCTCTGTGCTAGTGGCTCAGTGGTTAGCACTGCTGCATCATAGCGCCAGAAATCCGGGTTTGATTCCAGCCTCAGGTGACTGTCTGTGTGGAGTTTGCACTTTCTCCCCCAGGTCTGTGTGGGTTTCCTCCGGGTGCTCCGATTTCCTCCCACAGTCCGAAGATGTGCAGGTTAGGTGGATTGGCTGTGCTAAATTGTCCGTAGTGTCTCAAGGTGGGAAGTGCAGGGATAGGGTAGGGGGTGGGTCTGGGTGGGATGCTCTTTGGAGAGGTGGTGTGGACTCGATGGGCTAAATGGCCTGCTTCTACACTGTATGTAGGGATTCTATGATAAATCATGGCCGATCTATGTCTTAACTCCATTCACTCACTTTGGTTAACTTTTTAATACCCTTGCCTAATGAAGTCTGTCCATTTTGAAACTTTCGATTAACCCTCCCAGCCTCAATAGGTTAATAGGGAAGAGGACCCCAGGTTTCCACTACTTAGGAATGTCAGATTTAAAAACAGGAGCGGGCCACTTGGACTTTTGAGCTAACTCCACTATTTAACCAGATCACGACTGATCTGAAAGTGATCTCAGCCCCACTTTCCAACCCTCTACCTATCTCTTTATCAAAAATCTATCCAACTCAGCCTTGAGTAAATTAGAGATCCCCACTCCATACTTTCTGGGAGAGAAAATCCAAACTCTAATGACCCTTTAAGAAAAGACTATTTTCTCCTCATCTTTATTTTGAAAGGGAAACTTCCTATGCTTAAGTGCTATTCCCCACCTTTAAGTCCACTAGCCTCTGAGTGAAGAACTGTTTCCTGCTATGATCCCCTGAATAGTCTGATTGTAATTTTAAGGTTCTGCCCCCTTTGTTCTGAACTCCGTCACCCAAGGAAATAGTTTATTTGTCCTAACAAATCTTTTAACAATCTTAAACGTATTTGAAATTTGAACAAATTTAACAATTTGAAACCTGCAGTTCTAACATATTCTTTCCGTGGCCTTAATCTTGACTTTGGTTTATAAGTTCTTGAAAGGATAAATTTGGCATAAAGTCTCTTCCACTGTTGCACTACTCTTTTTATCATTTCAACATTAAACCATGGGCTTTGGTCCCTTAGCCTTACTTTCACAATTTAAAATAAAACACACAATCGAAATAGTGCCCAAACCTGATGAAAATGGCATGAAAGCTTCATTTTTCTTGAATTGTCCTTTCTCATCCAGAAAACGATCTGGGTTGAATGATTTTGGATTCTCCCAACAACTGGAGTCGTACAAAACAGATGTAAGGAGAGGGATGACAATCATTCCCTAACAAAAATAAACACATGAATTAAAATTAATGTTAATTAAGATCTGTGTTGTTAATGAAGCCAGTGTCATCCTGGATAATGAGGTTTACTCTTAACTGCCCTCTGAAATGGCCTGGGAAGCCATTCAGTTGCGGAGCTATTAGGGATGAACAATAATTGTCAGCCTTGTCAGTGATGTCTGCATTCTGTGAATTAATTTTTTAAAAAATGCAGCAGATTCTTCTGGGCATTGTCTGGGCTTAGCAGTCACCTATCAGAAGTCTCCCAAGCGACCTCCAACAATAAACACAGTCAACAACAAAAACAAAGTTGCTAGAAAAGCTCAGCAGGTCTGGCAGCATCTGTGAAGGGAAAAACAGAATTAACGTTTCGGGTCCGGTGATCCTTCTTCAGAACTGGACCGGAGACGTTAACTCTGTTTTCTCCTTCACAGATGCTGCCAGACCTGCTGAGCTTTTCCAGCAACTTTGTTTTCGTTCCTGATTTACAGCATCCGCAGTTCTTTTGGTTTTTAATAAACACTGTCATCTTCACCTCAAAGGATGAACAAGATTGTGTGACACAAAAGGAAGAACTCTATTTCTCTTTAATGTGCCATGGGTCTCTGGATCTTTTGCACTGAGGATATCCACTGGGTTTGCCACAATGGGCTGGTCCCACTGGATTCTGTAAATGACCCTCACAAGATTCGCCAATCCCTATTTGTTTTACCTCTAAGCAAGAGTGTGCAGATGCAGGTAGCAACAGAAACCAAAGCAGAGTAAAACAAAACAGCTAAATAAATTGGACACGTTACCTTTGGAATTGTGAATCCCTTGAACTCTGTGTCTCTCATCACTGTGTGTGGGAGATTTAATGGGATAATGTTGGAATATCGCTGGACCTCACAGATAGCTGCACTGGTGTAAGGCATCTTCTCTCTATCTTCCATGGTGGGTGTGCGTTCAGACCCGATCACCTCATCAATCTCATTTTGAATCTTTTCTGGAAAAGTACAAATACCATTAACATCAGAAAGGGCTAGAAATGGGACACGATGAAGGATCTTCAGTCAGGGGCAGGGAGCACAGAATGAGACAGCAGAGAAAGACACCAGGCAGAGAGCAGGGGAATGAGGAATTGTAGACAGTGCACAGATGCATAATGGAAGGGATATTGATGGGAGAATGGTTTTCTACTTGGGCGAAAGGAATGGGAGGATGCATCTTTCTAAATATTTTGTCTAACAGGAATCAAACTACCTGAGTCCAGATCTGCAAACAGTCACTTGGGGGAGAAAGTTTGGAAAATGTTTTCTTTGTTATTGTTGTTTTAATTTTTGAATGTGTTGAAAAGTGTGCCTCCTTTGCTACTTGTAAGTGATCTGTGAATGACCCACTTTCTCAAACACACACACATACACCAATCAAATGTACACACAGATGCACACACAAATACATAGTTTTGCACACTCTAGAAACTGCCCCTACCCTTCAGAGACAGAACATTGTGAGCATAATAAGCACATAATAAGCATATCAGCAAATGGAAGTGCATGGAATTAAAGAGGCAGTGGCTGTGTGGATACAAATTTACCAAACAACAGAAAATAGAGAAAAGCAGGGAAGGGTTGTTACTTTCACATCAAAAGTATACACCAATGCCACTGATGTGTCAATATTAATTCCACTACTATATTTGGTCTGTCACAATGGCCTGAATTATGGTATATGAAACATCATTTGAAAGAGATGACAGAAATTTGGAAATGTAGTAAACAGTGGGGAGGATGGTCAGACTTCAGGAGGACACAGACAAAAGGGCGGACACATGACAGAGTGAAGTTAATCCAGGAAAGCATGTGGTGATGAATTTTGGTTGGAAGAACAAGAAGAGGCAATCTGAGCCAAATGGTAGAATTTCAAAGGAACTGCATGAAGAGATGGACATGAGTGGAAGTGACAGTGGCTGAACAAGTGGCTGCTATAAAACATCCAGGATCCATGGGTCTCTAATTAGAAACATGGGATTCAAAAGAAAGAACATTGCTTAGGCTTCAGCTGAAACACTATATCCAATTCTAGGCATCCAAGTTTATATTGCATGCCTGGGCATTATGCCTCTGTTGAATTGAATAAAAACATGATGGATAATATCACCAGGATTCATTCGCCATGGCAATGCCTCAAATAATTAGAGTCAACTTGCCAACAATCAGCATCCTTTACACAAGCAGTATAAATTATTATTCCCTTTGAAATTCAGCATTCTTGCATCTGTCCTGATTAATAAAGCTTTATCAGACTGTATCTTGCTTCAGCAATACTTAAGTCCATACAATCAAGTGACTATTTTGAAACTCTTAGGTAAACATTGAGCTTTGAGCCCATTAATATGGATCAAACAGATAGTTTGGAAGGAGAGTCTAAGAACTGTTGGAGCCAATATTACTGCTTCCTATTTGTTTTAGTATTTTGTTGATGCTATCACAGGGCCAACTATTAGAGGAGAAGTTTACCACAGATCTCGTTTACAGAGAGCCCTTGTTGAAAGTATACTGGAGAGAGATAGTAGGAACTGCAGATGCTGGAAAATCTGAGATAACAAGGTGTAGAGCTGGATGAACACAGCAGGCCAAGCAGCATCAGAGGAGCAGGAAGGCTGACGTTTCGGGCCTAGACCCTTCTTCAGAAATGGGGGAGGGGAAGGGGGTTCTGAAATAAATAGGGAGAGAGGGGGAGGCGGATAGAAGATGGATAGAGGAGAGGATAGGTGGAGAGGAAACAGACAGGTCAAAGAAGCGGGGATGGAGCCAGTAAAGGTGAGTGTAGGTGGGGAGGTAAGGAGGAGACAGGTCAGTCCAAGGAGGACGGGATGAGGTTAGTAGGTAGGAAATGGGGGTATGGCTTGAGGTGGGAGGAGGGGATAGGTGGGAGGAAGAACAAGTTAGGGAGGCGGGGATTGTTTTGGGATGCGGTAGGGGGAGGGGAGATTTTGAAGCTTGTGAGATCCACATTGATACCATTGGGTTGCAGGGTTCCCAAGCGGAATATGAGTTGCTGTTCCTGCAACCTTCGGGTGGCATCGTTGTGGCACTGCAGGAGGTCCAGGATGGACATGTCGTCTGAGGAATGGGAAGTGGAGTTGAAATGGTTCGCGACTGGGAGGTGCAGTTGTTTATTGCAAACCGAGCGTAGGTGTTCTGCAAAGCGGTCCCCAAACTTCCGCTTGGTTTCCCCGATGTAGAGGAGGCCACAACGGGTACAGCGGTATACCACATTGGCAGATGTGCAGGTGAACATCTGCTTGATGTGGAAAGTCTTCTTGGGGCCTGGGATGGGGGTGAGGGAAGAGGTGTGGGGGCAGGTGTAGCACTTCCTGCGGTTGCAGGGAAAAGTGCCAGGTGTGGTGGGGCTGGAGGGAAGTGTGGAGCGGACAAGGGAGTCACGGAGAGAGTGGTCCCTCCGGAAAGCAGATAAGGGTGGGGAGGGAAAAATGTCTTTGGTGGTGGGGTCGGATTGCAGATGGCGGAAGTGTCGGAGGATGATGCGTTGGATCTGGAGGTTGGTGGGGTGGTACGTGAGGACGAGGGGGATTCCTTTTTGGTTGTTATTGCGGGGACGGGAAGTGAGGGATGAGTTGGGGGAAAAGTGGGAGACATGGTCGAGGGTGTTCTTGACCACTGAGGGGGGGAAGTTGCGGTCCTTGAAAAACGAGGACATCTGAGATGTACGGAAGTGGAATGCCTCATCCTGGGAGCAGATGCGGCGGAGGCGAAGGAATTGGGAATAGGGGATGGCATTTTTGCAGGAAGGTGGGTGGGAGGAGGTGTATTCTAGGTAGCTGTGGGAGTCGGTGGGCTTGAAATGGATATCGGTTTCTAGGTGGTTGCCTGAGATGGAAACAGAGAGGTCCAGGAAGGTGAGAGAGGTGTTAGAGATGGTCCAGGTGAACTTAAGGTTGGGGTGGAAGGTGTTGGTGAAGTGGATGAACTGTTCGAGCTCCTTGTGGGAGCACGAGGCGGCGCCGTACAGTCATCAATGTAACGGAGGAAGAGGTGGGGTTTAGGGCCAGTGTAGGTACGGAAGAGGGATTGTTCCACGTAACCTACAAAGAGGCAGGCGTAGCTTGGGCCCATGCGGGTACCCATGGCCACCCCCTTTGTCTGTAGGAAGTGGGAGGAATTGAAAGAGAAGTTGTTGAGGGTGAGGACGAGTTCGGCTAAGCGGATGAGGGTGTCAGTGGAGAGACACTGGTCGGGCCTGTGGGACAGGAAGAAGCGGAGGGCCTTTAGGCCATCTATATGGGGAATGGAGGTGTGTAGGGACTGGACGTCCATGGTAAAGATGAGGTGTTGGGGACCGGGGAATTGGAGGAGGTGGAGGGCTTCAGGGGTGTCACGGACGTAGGTAGGGAGTTCCTGGACCAAGGGGGAGAAAATGGAGTCGAGATAGGTGGAGATAAGTTTGGTGGGGCAGGAGCAGGCGGAGACAATGGGTCGACCAGGGCAGTCAGGTTTGTGGATTTTGGGAAGGAGATAGAAGCGGGCAGTGCGAGGTTGGGGAACGATGAGGTTGGAGGCCGTGGGTGGGAGGTCACCTGAGGTGATGAAGTTGTGGATGGTTTGGGAGATGATGGTTTGGTGCTCGGGGGTGGAGTCATGATCAAGGGGGTGGTAGGAGAAGGTGTCGGAGAGTTGGCATCTGGCCTCAGCGATGTAGAGGTCAGTGCGCCATACTACAACTGCGCCTCCCTTGTCCGCGGGTTTTATGGTGAGGTTGGGATTGGAGCGGAGGGAGCGGAGGGCTGCACGTTCTGTGAGGGAGAGGTTGGAGTGGGTGAGAGGGGTGGAGAGGTTGAGGCGATTGATGTCTCGACGGCAGTTGGAGATGAAGAGGTCGAGGGAGGGTAGGAGGCCTCGGGGTGGTGTCCAGGAGGAGGGGATGTGTTGGAGGTGGGAGAAGGGGTCAGTAGAGGGAGGGTTAGGTTCACGGTTGAAGAAGTAAGCGTGGAGGCGGAAAAACTGCTCAATGTCCAAATGTGAGCGGTATTCGTTGATCTGTGGGTAGAGGGGGACAAAGCTGAGCCCTTTACTGAGGACTGACCGTTCGTCCTCAGTAAGGGGGAGGTCTGGGGGGATGGTGAAGACTCGGCAGAGCTGGGTGTTACAGTCTCTTCTGGAGCTGCTGGCTGTGGAGGCGGTGGGCGGAGCGACGTCGGCGTCGGCTGTGGGTGGAGTTGTGTTGGCGGTGGGCGGGGTTGCGTCGGTGGTGGTGGGCGGAGTTGCGTCGGCGTAGGCTGTGGGCGGGTTTGCATCGGCGTCAGCGGTGGGTGGAGTTGCGTCGGCGGTGGGCGGAGTTGCGTCGGCGTAGGCTGTGGGCGGGTTTGCATCGGCGTCGGCGGTGGGCGGAGTTGCGTCGGCGGTGGGCGGAGCGGGGTAGGCGGTGGCAGCAGCGGTGACGGTAGGTTCGTCTTCAGTGTCTGTGGTGTTGGCCTCGGAAATGGAGGCGTTGGCATCAGCAGCGATGGTGTTCGCTGTCCCGGAAGTATACTGTTCTTTTTGGGTTTGAAAGGGTTCATTCTGAGGCGTGCCACAAACTCTAACCCCTATGTTAATGTCATATGGATTTGTGGATAGAACAGCATTTGATCTCAGAGGGAGTGAGGCTTAACATCCAAGTCGTCAATCTCTGTAATAATGTCCATCATGTCAATGCAACTTGTAACTAGCTGTTGACATTCAATAAAATATCTTTTTAACTATATGAGTCTGTTTTAGTGAGAGCAGGACATGGTTTTCCCTGACCACACAAGACCATGAAGACCACATTGTTTCCTACACTTAAAGAGGATGTTGGCAGCAACCTTTGCCAGGAACAGCAGCTCACACAGCATAGTGAACTGGCATGCCCACACAAAGTGTAGGACTTCACCTGTAACACACACTAACATATTTACTGCCATGTGCACTGGGCACCCTGAAATATACAAAACAAATAGTTAATGAGTATACAATGACTGTTCATACCCACCCTGGACATCTGGGTACTTCAGGAATAGCAGGAATCCCCATCTCATGGTGGAGCTGGTGGTGTCTGTCCCAGCCAGAAATATGTTAAATGTGGACAGAAGAAGGTTTTCATCGTTGAATTCAGATTTGGGGTTGTCTTCCTCCTGGGAGTAAAGAAAGCAGGAAAGCAATGATAAAGAATGCAACTCACCATAAAATCAGATTAATGGGCAACAGTTACTACTCAACTATTTGGGGATGCCTTGGGTGGTGCTCCTTAACCCTGGCCAGAGGCAATAAGGGACAACAATAGTGTTCTGCAGTTCTCTGGGTACTGATCATCTGAACTGGATCTATAATGTTGCTATTGAGCTGTCGCTGTTTTTGCCCTTGGCAATACCAATGGTTTACTGTAATAATATAATTATTGAGAAAGCCACATTTAAGAAGCACCTTTCAAGTCTTCAGAATGTCCCAAGCTCACAAAGTCATTTTGAAGGATAGTAACTGCAGCTATGTAGACAAACACAACAGTCAATTTGTCACACTGAAATCTAACAGTGAATTAAAAGGATGGCCAATATTTTATATTAATTGGAGTTGTCAGCTAGGGAATAAATGCAAGGATGGGAGAACATTCTTGTTTATTAATTGAATATTGCCCTTGGGATCCTTTATGCTAACTATATTTTTTACTTACTCACTTATGATGGCTGTCATTCATTGCCCATCTCCAAGTTGCACTTTAAGAAGATGATGGAGGCATTCTCCTTGAACCACTTCAATCTCTTGTTCCCTATGTCTTTTAGGGAAGGAAATCTTCTGTCTTTACCCGGGGGCTACATGTGACTCCAGAGCCACAGCAATGTGGTTGACTTTTACGTGCCTTCTGAAATGGCCTGGCATGCCACTCAGGGGTTCAAGCACATGGGCACCAAATGTTGGCCTTGCCTCATGCCATGAAATCATGCTCACTCTCACTGAGCATTTTATTAAAAATGTATTGATTTAATTTAGATTAGCCAATGGGATTTGAACTCTTGCCTCTGAAATGTTAACCTGGGTCCCTAGATTTCTAGGCCAGCAACATCCCAAAACTCCTTCATTTCCCCACTTATCCAATGACTATCCTCTTCTTTCCATTGCTTTGAATGAACCAGAGTTCAGGCAGCCTTTTGGTAGACAGTTCAGTAGCTCAAAGACCAGAGTTTCTGGTAAAGGTCGATAATTGACAGAACTTATTCAAAATTTGTTTACAAACCTCTTTCATTTTGGCGAGGAAACTAGCAGTGAAATCCTGGGGCCTGTCTTTGGTGTGTGTGTCTTTGTGATTTTGGATCATTTCTCTCAGGAAACCTTTTATTTTAGCCGCATTTTCGAAAAGCCTGTTGTGAGGGCCTGGGAGGTGATCCAAAAGGCTTGGAAGTAAATCGTACAGCTGTAGAAATGAAAGAACACAAGAAATAGGAATGAGTTGAGTTAGGGCGGGAGGAATACCTTTCTGTGGAGGCTGGAAAAATCAAAGCCAAATAGCATGAGGTGAAATTTTTACCCATCACTTGATATTGGTTTGTCTGAAGACAAAAATACAAAAATGTGGATTTATATTGCATCTTTCATTATGTCAGGATGTCCCAAGGTACACTATAGCTATTGAAACACTTTTTCTGAAGTGTAGTTACCATTCTAATGTTGGAAACAGGGTAACCAATATTACACATCGTAAGATCCCATAAACAATAATCAGATAGTGATCAGATTATCTGATTTATATGTTACTCAGGATTAAATGCTGGCCTACTTCCATAAGTACAACAAAATTGCTTACATCTACCAAAGAGGTCAGGTGGGCCTTAGTTTAACTTCTCCCTTGTAAGACAATACCTCTGACATTGTAGCAGTCCCTCAGTAATACACCAAGATTGTCAGTCTAGACTGCACGTTAGTGTTTCTAAAGTGGAGTTTGAAGTGGAGTAACTATATGACTTAGGGGTAAGAACAGATCTTAACCAGTGTATAATAGTTAGTTGTCCTCAGTGTGGGACTGCTAGACTTGATGTGCCACATGGTGGAAAATGTCAACACTTGCTGTTTATAGATTTACACCAGACCCTTTAGGAAGGACTGCTGAGCAATCCCACCCCAAAATTACTCAACACTGTGTATGAGGCTAGATGAGAAATTTAGCAGGAAATTAGTCCATTAAGAAAAAGAGTGTTTGTCACATCAATGGTAGTGTTCAGCACCATGGAGGGGTTGATGGGGGTTACTCTTGCTCTGAATCGACATTGGTTTCCACTTTTTTATTCAGTCCTGTCCATAACATTCTGGGACCGCTTTCCTTCTCTTCTACCAGCTGCCATCAACTTTAAGGTGAAACACATAAGCTTAAGAAATAGGAGCAGAAATGGACCATTCAGCCCATTGAAAATCACTCTACCATTCAATAAGATCATGGTTGATCTTCTACCCCAACTCCAATTTCACACCTGATTCCCTATCTCCCTCAATTCCCATAGTGGCCAAAAATCTATCTCAGCTTTAAATATATTCATTCAACCTTTCACAGCTCTCTGGAGTGGAGAATTCTGAAGATTAACAGCACTCTCTGAGTGGAAAAAAATTCTCATCTCAGTCCAAATGGCTGGCCCCTTATCGTGTGACAATGACTGTGGCAATAGGGTCCCTAAACAGGGGAAAACACCCTCTTTGTATTACTCTATCAAATTCTCTAAGGAGTTTATACATTTCAATGAGATTACCTCTCATTCTTCCAAGCTCCAGAGAATGTAGTCCATTCTACTCTCTTGCCATACTGTTAACGGCAGAATTCAATCAAATACAGAAATCAATACATAAATTCCAATATTTATAAGAATTTCCACCGGAGATATCCAATACAGCCTTAGCACCGGGGCAAGGCTATAGGAGTAACATGGAGATGGAGGCAGCTGGTTATGCCAAGATTTCTTGGCAAAAGCTCACATACTAACCAGTCTCCCAAACTGTGGGTATCATCATTAAGAGATGATGGTCACCACATCTTGTTACCAGTGAAATCACAGATGACGTGGTAGAGTTTTAGGGGATGAGTCATTCAAAAGTGAGACACGCTGGGGCAAGGCGAGGCTGGAGGTGAGGCACAGGTGTGGAAGCACACCTGAAGAACAGGGGCAACATGACTCAAACTGCTACCTACAGCCTTGTGTGTAGAATAAAATTTGGACCATGTGAAGATACACATAGCCAAGATACTGAGCCACAGTGAGAACATCCTACGGGCATTACAGAGGGAGTAGGAAAGATTCAGGAGAATGATTCCAGGAATAAGGAACTTCAGTGGCGCAGATAGATTGGGCAAGAGAAGGCTGAGATGAGGTTTGATAGAGTTGTCAAAAAACAGCAAAAATGTGGATAGAGTAGAGGCCAGGATGACAGCAAAAAGAGTGTTAGCAGCTCTGGTTGGGATTTGGATTACTCTGTTTGACAGTGCATGAAGGAAGATTCAATCGAAGGTTTCAAAAGAGATTTGGATCATCTTCTGAAAAGGAAGAATGTGCAGAGCTACGGACAAAAGGTGGCAGTGAGAAGAGAGGAGGGGAAATGGCATCAGATGAACTGCTTTTACAGAGCGCCAGCAACAGCTTGATGGGTTGTGATATTCAATGAGTCTGACAGACATATAGAAAACACTCCTATGAATCATATAGGAAACAAATAAAGAATTCCCAGGCAGAACAAGTTATAGATATCTGTAGAAAACACTCCTATGAATCATATAGGAAACAAATAAAGAATTCCCAGGCAGAACAAGTTATAGATATTTAGTCTCAATATTTTATGAATGGTACAGATTGTTCTTTGATGAAACAATTTACAATTATCGCATTCCACCTTTTGGTAATGATATTTTAAAAAATGTTAGTAGGGTGGAAAGGTGATGGGGAACTTTAATTTTCTTTATTCTGAGCTCAGAGTTCCCATTAAACTTTCATCTCCTTATTCAGTGAATTAGAAACCAACACTATTGAGATTAATTGAAAATATTGGTGAGTTCTGGGGTGTATGCACGCTATATAAGTGTCCTGGAACAAGTTGTCACTCTCAGAATTCAAAGGTATTTGTCAGTGGAGCCTGGTACTATTGACTAACAAACAAGTGAAGGCAGACAGACAGAGACAGAGAGATGCAGAAAGTAAACAGTGGCAGCAGTTGACTTACCTGCCCCCAGGGGCTGCTAATGACTCTCATGTTTTCTGTGATCATGTCCAGCAGAGTGAGCAGATTCTTATCTGTATAATCGAACCGGTTCCCAAAGACAACGGCACACATTATGTTAGCGGTGGCGCAGGTCAAATGGAACGTGGGGTCAAAGGGTGACTCTGGTGAGACAATGTGAGTTGGTTAATGCACAGCACAGCAAAACAAAACATCAGGGGGAGTGGGTTGTTCTGAAGTGGGAAGGAGTGAGTGTAAGGCTTAATCTGCCGAAGTTGTCTTGGTGTGGGGGTAGGTGGGGAATCATTGTTTAAAACAGTTTACAATGGCTCAGTGGTTAGCACTGCTGCCTCACAGTGCCAGAAACCCAGGTTTGCTTACACCCTGGGGCCAATGCCTGTGTGGAGTTTGCACATTCTCCCCGTGTCTGTGTGGGTTTCCTCCGGGTGCTCCAGTTTCCTCCCACAGTCCAAAGATGTGCAAGTTAGGGAAACTGGCCATGCTAAATTGTCCATAGTGTTCAGGGATGTGTAGATTAGGTGGGTTACAGGGGGATGGGTCTGGGTGGGATGCTCTGAGGTTTGGTGCTGGCTTGTTGGGCCGAAGGGCCTGTTTCCACACTGTAGGGATTCTATGACTCTATGAAGGCTATATTGGATTGTCCAGTAGCATAAAACAAGCAGCTGATTGAAAAGGAGTCAACATTTGATGGGCCAAAAGCACAAAACAAGTAACATCTAATTGGCTGATGGTTTAGAACAGGTGACAGTTACCCATTATGGACCACAGTACATTTCCTACCTACAAACTTAAACCAATCCATCAGTTTCTTTCAAAGAGCTGACACAGACATAATGAGATGAATGGCCTCCTTCTGTGCTGTGTCATGCCCAGTTACAGGCTTGTGATATTCTGAGCTTTCAGTCAATACTTTAAAAATTGGATACAAACTTGTATGGCTGCTGCACATTTATGGCCTTTAGCATCAAGACTCCAGCGAATTAAATATGAACATAGGTTAGGATATACCATGGCTGTCAGTGGAATTCACACGTCTCCTTATTTAAGGGTGGGTCAACACTAAAGTTTCAGACTGTTTCATACCAGAGAATAGGGAAGATCAAAACTCAATTTGTGGCAGATGAAAGTAAATGTCCATTATCAACTACCCTCTATCACAATAACTTCCTCTATCCAAATTAAATGAGGCCTCAGAAGTGTTAATCAACAACACAGGATGTGGAATCAATGTGTACACATGGTGAAACACGCATATTTTCTTCATCTATTTATAAGATCAACAAAGTTGTACGTGCAAAACTATCAGAACCATCTGTTCAGCTAGACTGCAAGTCAAACCTGGAAGCTAGCTGCAAGGCATCAATCAGCCAGAGTACTCAACCTGTTCCAGTCAAAGCGAAGTTGAACAGAATCGCTGGCAACAATACATCCAGACTTGATGAGCTCAATGCATTCAATGCTCACTTTGAACAGAAGTTCAGTGAAACATTGTCAGCTGTCCCAACAGCCTGTACCCACGGTCACTGCTGCAGACGTTTGATCAGCCTTCTCAAGTGTGAAACCACAGAAAGTCACTGGCCCAAATGGAGTCCATGGCTGAGTGCTCAGTATTCGCAGACATCTTTAGCCTTTCCTTACTACAATCTGAAGTCCCCGCTTGCTTCAAGAAGACCACCATCATCCCAGTGCTAAAACAAAATTATGCAGTGTGCCTCAAATGACTACTGCCTGGTGGCTCTGACCTCCATAACTAATAAGTGCAATGAGGGGTTAGTCATGGCTCACATCAACTCCAGCCTAGCAGCCTGCCCTGATCCTTTGCAATTCACCTACCGTCGCAACAGGTCCACCATATCCCTGGCCCTACACTCATCCCTGGAATATCTAGATAACAAGAATACCTATGTAAGGCTCCTACTTATTGACTACAGCTCTGCCTTCAACACCATAATTCCAAACAAACTCATCTCTAAACTTTAAGACCGAGGTCTCGACTCCCACTTCTGTAACTGGATCCTCGACTTCCTGATCCATAGACTGCAATCAGAAACGATAAGTGACAACACGACCTCCACGATAATCCTCAACACCTGTTTCTCACAAGGCTGTGTACTCAACCCCTTATTGTACTTCTTATACACTCACGACTGTGTGGCCAAATTCCACCACCCCCAGCTGACTCCATTTGCAAGTTTGTTGATGACACCACTATTATAGGTCAGATCTCAAACAACGACAGGACAAAATACAGGAAAGAGACTGAGTGCTTAGTGGCGTTGTGTAAAGACAATAATTTCTCCATTAACGTTTGCAAAACAAAGGAGCTGGTCACTGATTTCAGGAAGTGGAGTGAAGGGCACACCCCTGTCTGCATCAATGGTGCTGAGGCAGAGATAGCCAATTCCTGGAGTGTCCAGTTCCTGGGAGTGACGATCACCAACAATCTGTCCTGGTCAACCCCATGTCGATGTGACAGTCATGAAAGCACAACAATGTCTCTACTACCTCAGGAGGCTAAGAATATTTGGCATGTCCACAAAGACTCTTAGCAATTTTTATAGAGAAAGTAGGAACTGCAGATGCTGGAGAATCTGAGATAACAAGGTATAGAGCTGGATGAACGCAGCAGGCCAAGCAGCATCAGAGGAGCAGGAAAGCTGACGTTTCGGGTCTAGACCCTTCTTCAGAAGTTGTACCACAGATAGCCTCATATGTGATTGTATCAGAGCATAGTATGGCAACTGCTCTTCCCAAGACTGCAAGAAACCACAGAGGGTCACAAACACAGCCCAGTCCATGAAGCAAACCAGCTTACCATTCACTGACTCCATCCATACTTTGCACTGTCTCAGGAAAGCAACCAACATAATCAAAAGACACCTCCCACCCTGGTTGTACTCTCTTCCACCCTCTTCCGTCTGGCTGAAGACACAAAAGTGTGAATACACGTACGAATAGATTGAAGAACAGCTTCTTTCCCACTGTTAGCAGACTTTTGACCAGGACCTCTCAACTGTTAATTCTAATCTCTCTTTCTGCACCTTCTCTGTGGCTGTAACACTGTATTCTGCACTCCGTTCTGCCACCCTGATGCACTTTGTGTGGTACGATCTGCCTGTGTACCATGTAAAACAACACTTTTCACTGTATCTTGGTACGTGTGATAACTATAAATTAAACTAAATCAAACTCAAACTCAAAGTTAACCTGAGAATCAGCTTCCTAGGTACTTAACTCCAAGAAATCTCACAACCTACTGTGAATCCTTTGCTTTATGAGACCTTCCCTTCACTGTTAAAGCCCTAATTCTATTCACAAATCCACAGGCCTGCCATTTGGGAGACCAGAGATTGTAACTCTGAGAGGAAGTTAATTGTAATCTGTAAAGGTCTACTACTTTTATCTGTATCCAAATTTTTGTGTGTCTGGATGTCTGTGTGAAATTGGGTGTGTGATGTTGCATTTACTCAAGGTGAAGGCTTTGGTGTCGTGGTAGAGTCTTTGGACCAGTAATCCATAACTCCAAGCTAAAATTCTGGGGTCATGGGTTGAAATGACAAATGGTGAAATTTGAATCCAATAAAAATCTCAGATAAAGAGCTAACCTAATAGCAACATGTAATCCATTGTCATAAAAGAAAAATCTGGTTCACTGGTGTTCTTTAGCAAAGGAAATCTGCCATCTTTACTTGGTCAAGCCTGTACAGGATTCCAGACGCATAGCAATATTGTTGACTCTTAAGGGCAGTTATGGATAGGCAATAAATGCCCATATCCCATAAATGACAAAGAAAGAAAAAAAGCATTAAGGTAAGGGTATGAGAACAAAACACTATCTGTTGTTACTGCACTAGAATAAGAAATTAGAGCCACTGATTTCATCAGTGTGTGCTTGAACTGGAACTCAGCGTCCAGTCTGCCATGTGCATAACTATGCATATGCCTCATGCTCACTGCCTCGTTGGCCCACTCCCTACTCCTTAATGCCTCACTCTCACTCACTGTTCCCTCACCCATGGAGAATTGTAAGCAGGGAATAGGATGGTAGGCAGAAAGGAGGCAGTGAGAAGTCTGGAATAGAATGGCCAAGCTGATAGTGAAAAGGTAGCCAAGTATTAGGAGTGACATTACCACTTGGCTGACTTTCCCCAACACCTTGGAGTTTACATCAGCTACACTGCTGACCTTGATACCACAGGTTATGGTCTGAATGTCATGTGCATTTGGTGTTCAATGTTCTGGTCTGAGAGGAGCCACTAACCTTCAGTTCTCCGGAAGACTTCCACCAGGCACTCTGCCTCTTGCTGGACGAAACTCTGCAGCGTCTTGGATCCTCTCCCAAAATTTTTCAGCATCTTGATAGCAAAATTCCGAAGCTGGAGTGAGCGGTGCCCATTGCTGCTGGCAATTCCTGGAAGTACAGACAGACAGAGTGTGGTTTGATTTAGATAGAAAAAAGGAGGAGAATTTTGAAGGGATGCTCTCCATCTTTTCTTATCACTTCAGTAGACCAAGCTTTTGTTTTGGTTTTCTGGCATTTAAGAGGGTCCCCACTGATGTGGCAAGGCCCAAGAGGAAGAATCAACAGGTAGTACGTTGCCCTACTGTCTGTACTTCACACTGGCTCTCAAGCTGCATGTCAGAGAAGGTCAAAAAGGGATGGGTTAGCCTCTGACCTTGCACCTGCTGACTGCTGTGTTCAAAATCAGTGTGCTGGTGGCCATAACGGAGATTGGTGGGACTTGTTCATGTCTCTGTGTGTGCATGGTAAAGGTTGGGTTACGTTGAATTTACTGCACAGATACACACCATTCAGCCCAACTCACCTGTGTTAGAGTTCTTATGGAGGTTTATGAAGTTTCTTCTCACTTAAAGTAAGCTCACCCAAGCAGCATAACCTTCTATTCTTTTCTCATGCACGCAAGCAGTTTCCACTAAATATCCCCCTTAAGGGTAGGGAAGGGACATGGGTGTGGTGGTGAAACTCTGAATCTGCACTTTCTACTGCCGCTGCTCAGCTAGAATACGGAGGTCACTGAAGAAGTAATGACGCAAAAATGTGCTCCTGGCTGTAGATTCTGTTTTCATTACTCAGCCACCTTCACAACGGACAACGTCAGTGCCTACACATTCTTCAATTTTCAACCTGCAGCCTCCATGTCAACGACTACTCATCCAGATAATGTGGGAAGGCTGAGCTTTAAGGTTATTGACAAATGAGGGTGGGTGAAGAAAAAGAGGGTTGTGTGGGAGGAGCAATTCAAATGAAAAGGGAAAAGAGACATAATCAAACAAGAAACAGAAAATGATAAAGAGAGGAAGTTGGCATTTTTGTTTGTAATAACGTTAGGTGGGAATGAAATTGGGTTACTGCAGTGGGATTGTAATGTTCTGCGTCGTATCCAAATTTCTGTTTTCTCAATTTTACCATTAATTTGTTTCAGGCAAAAATTAATTTGACTCCCACGGTACATTAAGTGGAATTGGAAATAAATCAGAAAGAATGGCATTACCGAATTACAAGGCATCTGGTAGATGGAGGACGAATTAAAGGGACAGTTTCATGGAGGCAGAACACGAGACATGGTATACATAGAAATATACAGGTATGAGGAAAGACTTGGGGCTTAACATGTCCCTTTGTTCTTACCATATCCATTTGTGATCTTCCTGATTGATGGGACTGTTCCTCTGGCTCCAAAATCATCTGCTCGATTGACTAATGCTTCCTTCACGGTTTCATAGCCGCACAACACCACTGCAGGACGTGGTCCAAGCCAGACAGTGAACACTGAACCATACTTCTTGGCCAACTGTAACAACCAGGAAATGGGAACTAATTTCCGTGAAATGAGAGGTGCAATCTAATTAATCGTGGCTACTTGCAAATAAGAAAACCTTACATGAACAAATGAACTCACTTGAGGGCAACAGCTTTGCTACAACCCCCCCACCCTCGTCAGACTGAGCACAATATTGGTAAATCTCAAGCCCACTTCCTGTCCTCAGGAAATCCTTCCTCCAGAAACTTGACAGCATCAAGGACAAACCAGCCCACACTGCAACCACTCACCGAGGCTGCTTCGACAGCACCCAACAAACAGACAACCTGGTCCCACTAGAAAAACAAGGGCAGCAAGTACATGGGATCGCCATCATCTGCAAGTTCCCCTCGAAGCCATACACCATCCTGGCTTGGAAATATATTGCTGTTCCTTCACTGTCATTGGAACAAAATCCCAGAACCCCTTCCTGATAACATTATTGTTGGCTCTATGCCACATGGACTGTAGCAGCTCAAGAAGACGGCTCACCACCACCTTTTCAAAAGCATTGAGGACTGGACAATAAATGCTGGCCTGATCAGTAACAGCCATATCTCGTGAAAGAATGCTCGCTACTTGCAGCAAATTGGCCATAGACGTGATGAATTGATACTCTGCTTCATCAGGTGAGATATTTTCATTAGGACCTGTGGCAATGCAATCAACCGAGCGTGTGGTTTCAGACTCGGTTTGAGAAAATCTGTGGTTGTGTCAAAAGCAGAAAATCCATAGGAGAAACAACCCTTAACATTAAATGACTTGTATAAGCCTTATTCCATTAAGGTATCCAGTAAAGAGACCCCCTTTTTTTTTCATTCACGGGCTAAGGGTGTCACTGGCTAGGCTAGCATTTACTGCCCATCTCTAATAGCCCAGAGGGCAGTTAAGAGCCAACCACATTGGTGTGGGTCTGCAGTCACATGTAGGCCAGACTAGATGAGGATGGCAGTTTCCTATCCTAAAGGACATTAGTGAACCAGATGGGTTTTTCCAACAATGAACAATGGATTCACGTTCATCATTAGGCTCTTAATTCCAGGTTTTTATTGAATTCAAATTCTATCATCTGGCCTGGTAGGATTTGAACCCAGGTCTCCAGAACATTACTGAAAACAATAAATGCTGGAGATCACAGCGGGTCAAACAGCATCCATGGAGAGAGAGCAAGCTAATGTTTTGAGTCTAGATGACTCTTTACCAGAGCAGTACAATTGCTGCAGCTGCTGGAATTTGTTCTTCAGATTAACAGTCTCTGGATTAACAGTCACTTCGCCATTGCCTCCCCATTGAAGCAAAGAAAAATATGTTAAAATATTTCAGTTCATTTACCACACTGGATGCTGTGTACTTACCAGTTGTTACTTCTAGAGCTATTCTTCAACAGAGCTGCTGTCACAGCGAACTGTGTAGCAGAGGGAAGTAAGTGGGTCTTTGATGTCCTGACTATCAATTTAGGCAGGAGCTGGGCCCTGTTCACTAGGGCCTTGGGTATTCGCCAGCAGACAATGTTCCTTGGAGTACACCAGGCAGACCCTATAGGGATCCCTGGAGACTAGAAGCCAAACCCTTGGCAGACCTGCGTGTTGGTGTGAGTGGGGTGGGGAAGAGTGGCAGTGGGACAGAGAGAGAGAGAGAAACAGAGAGAGAGAGACAGAGAGAGAGACAGATAGAAAGAGAGAGACAAAGACAGAAATTCTGGGGCTTGTGATTTTCATGAGTTACACTGTAGAAGGGCTCCAGTCTCAAATGTTGGCTATGGATATCAATCGTGAATAGTTTCTTTCTCAGAGTTACCTTTTTCCATTAATGTTGAAAAAGATTGAAGCCATTGGATTAAAGGATCCCTGTTTTATAACCTTTGTGTAGTCTGTGTCCTTGAGCCTCATGTTACACAGTGGAAATCTGCACACCTTCAGCCCTTTCTCTCAAACCTTGCACACCTCTTGGAGACTTCTACAAGACTCACTCCATCCTTTGCAGATATTTTATGACATGACGAGCCAATATGGTGACATGATCACCACAAGTTTGATGTGCATCAAAATCCCTTTGGACAACGCTGTCATGGAGGTTGAATATATTCACTACTCAAATTTGAACTCCAAGCAAATAAAAATATATAGGGTTTGGGTAGGAAGCTGGAGTCAGGTAGTAAGTAAGTGATAGGGGGGTGATGGCCTAGTGGTATTATCGCTGGACTGTTAATCCAGAGACCCAGATAATGTTACGGGGACCCGGGTCCGAATTCTGCCATGCCAGATGGTGGAATTTGAATTCAGTAAATATCTGGAATTAACAATCTAATGATGACCGTGAATCCATTGCTAATTGTTGGGAAAAACCCACCTGGTTCACTAATCCCCTTTAGGGAAGGAAACTGCCATCCTTACCTGGTCTGGCCTACCTGTGACTCCAGACACACAACAATGTGGTTTGACTCTTAACAGTCCTCTGGGCAACTAGGGATGGGCAATAAATGCTGGCCTAGCTAGTGACACCCTCATCCCATGAATAAATAGAGAAAAAGACCCACTGTGATGTTACTGAATGGTGCAGCAGGCTCTCAAGGGGCCAAATGACCTACTTTAGTTCCCATATTTTATGTTCTTGAGATCTTATTGATCTCAGCAGGGTTGCAACATTTGGGCCTCAGGATATTAAGGTGAAGCCGTAGGGGGATCTCTCTCCTCATCCTGTCTTCTTTTGATATTCTAGTGAGTCTCACGTTGAGTACAGAGATCTCCAGCATCTGCAAAGCAGGCAGACAGGTGCTCTCAGCACATGCATCAGGAGGAAGATAAGCAAATAGCTCAACATCTGGAGACCACACTCCTGTGTCTCCTTGAGAATAGAAGATTAAGGGACAAACCATTTGAAGCATTTAAGATGATTAAAAGGATTTTAGGATGAAAGAATAGTGTGAAACTATTTCCTTTGTTGGCAGCAGTCCAAAAAAACTGGGCATAATCTCAAAATTTGACTCAGGCAACTCAGCGTTTCTGCACACAAAGCGTAGTAGAAATCTGGAACTCTTGCCTCTGAAAAGTTGTGGAGGCTTTTATGGGGAAGGGGAAGCAATGATGATTGAACATGTTAAAATTGAGGTGGATACATTTTTGTTATGTACAGGCATTCAGGGTTATAGAACCAAGGCAGCTAAACAGGGTTAAGGTACAAGTTAGTCATGACCTAACTGACATGCAGAACTTGAGGGATTGAATGGCTTCTTCCCGCTCCAATACGGCTTTGATGAGGACTCAAGGGTTTCAGCAAAGGGATACAGGAAATAGGCCCAGGACATAAATGTGAATTTCTGGTTCATATTGCGAAATCACAAAGACACCAAATCAACTTGTCTACAATACATGATGCCTAAAGATTTTCCTTTATGTTCTATGAGCACCTCTGGAATTTATTGCCCATTCGCCTTCAGAAGATTGTAGCAGGATGCAAATAAGTGCTTACTTGGTGAAATAGCTGCACAGAGGCTGGCGTCCCATCACCAGGTCGCCCTTTACTTACATGTGCACAGTACATGGGCTCTGACCAGCCAGCTCAAAACCAGTGCCTTGACTGAGGAGACATTCTAAATCTCCTGTTTATGTCTGTCAGCCAGGGCTCCCTGATTGGACCAGGTTAACAACCCCAATCAAAGATCTTATAGTCAATGAGATCCACCCAGCCCTGGTTCCAATCATTACACTTGGCCTCTCAGTAGGGCAGTTAAGAGGCAGCCACCTTGCTGTGGGGACTGGAGTCACATGTAGGCACAGACTGTGTAAAGATGACAGGTTTATTTTCCCATAAAAGGACATCAGTGAACCAAGTCAGCATTTAGAATAAACTGACAACTTTGTGGCTACTTTTACTGATAACAGCATTTATTTTGATATTCTTTTCTCGTCAAATTGCAATTCTCAAATTACCGTTGGACATCTCTGAATTACTACACATAACATGACTGCTACGTACCACACCTTGGAATCAACAAAAGGTGAAGAAAATGTCTTCAGTCTTAGCACTTGGTACAACTTCTGAAAATTAGCACAACTTTAGGTATATTTGTGTGTGGATCTGCATAGATAAAAATACTTAATGATTTCCTGTGAAATTCTCATAGCCTTGCAAGTTACTCCCTCCTGTACTGGTGTCAGTGACACTGTCATGACTTTGCAGGTGGTCAATGTGCTGAAAGTTTGCAATACGTAATGGCCAATCACCAACTGCCACATATCAATATCTAATAAATTTTGTCATTGTGCAGTTGTTTTGTATCTTCAACATAATTCTGAAGGTTAGCATTGTATACAGGAATGGAGCTGTGGTATTTTCTCAAATGACCTATCCTATGCCTTGAGATATTTGGCACCTCTAATGGTATGTGGTACAGTGTAAGGGTTGTTTGAAGTAGTTTGCTGCTACCAATCCTCCTTTGTCTTAGACCTATCTAGGAGACAAGTTGAAATTTATTCGCAGGGATGTACACTACATCAACCATCATCTGTAGTCCTTCAGCTAGCTACTGAATGAAAAACACTCTTTGATCTGCTCAAAACTTGTTGGTCTTCCAGTGCAAAGAGTTGTCCTCAACCAAGTCTTCTGGACTGGCACATTCCAAGGTCCAAGATTACATGGTGAGGGATACATTAAGCTTGGGCCAGCCACTCCAGAGGCATAATGGGGAAAAATCTAAGGCTTCTCAGCCATACTGTACTGTAGGGCTGGAAACGGTAGAACGCCCCACCCCAGTTGGACTCTGTGTCTTACAAAAAATGTATATCAAAAAACTAATAAAAATGTATTGAGGTAAATCATAGTGCAGCATGGTGTACAGAGGAAAATGTTACATTTTTTGCATTTACTGGAATTTCACATTTGAATTGTCTCTACCCTAGGGGGTAGAGATGGAATGCATTTTTTAACTTCTAAAGCTTTTGCAATCCTATTTAGATCATGTCACATTGGGATAAGTTGAATGTAATTGCAAG